CATTTCTCTTGAAATATGCTGACCAAATATAATAGAGATGGGTTAGTCTTTGGTATTTATTAATCAATGATATCGTCTATCTAAGGATAAAACTACCAAAATATTCATGGAAAGTTTTACCCTCATTGAGTATAATGAGAATATGGGACTAGATAATTCGTCTTTTCCAAATATGATATGCTCAATGCAATCCACTCTATCGTGGGCCACACAATAGCATCAGAGCTGTCCAACAAACTTCTTTCTCCCAGGAACATTCTAGATAGTGCGCTCAATCAGCCGTTAACTACATCTAACGCGGTAAGACATGCTGGTAGATTTTCCCCACGTATGCAACACCTTCTGGAACAAATTCGTAAGAGAGAACCCCTGTCTGAGTGTCTGGCTGTAACTGTCAGCAACTAACATGACTTCTAAGAAGAGTTTGCCGAGGTCTTTTTTTTCCAAAACGACAACTTGTGTAATTTCCTCTTCAGCAGTAATTTTTATTTGAATTCTGAACTGAATTTATAAATATTTCTACTGATGGTAAGATTATAAATGATCGAAAATCGTCCTTAAAACATTAGTTCAAAACTGAGATCGGGCGAAATAAGTAATGTCTGACGTAAGTACCAGTTACAGTTTCTCTCATTTGGCGCGTTAATTTTTTGTTTGTAAATATGACGTTTGTAATTTAAAAAATACGCTTTGTCTGCTTTATAGGATACATTTGCTGACCTCATTGTTTATGCTGAACGTGAAAGTTTGAGCCAGGATACTGCACGCGAATACTTCCAACTTGTTCGGGATAGCATACCTATCGATGAAAACTTAAAAAGAGAATTTAACGCTAAATCAACCGATTTTGAACGTGTTTGCTTTTTCCTAGAACTTCTGGGAAGGTCAAATGAGGGTATAGAGTCTTTTATTCATTGGCATTTTTGCAAAAAGAATTATTATTATTATTACTATTTAAAATGACGCACTATTATGGGGATACTTTGATTTTAGCTTCATCGTCGATTTCAAAGCTCGGATTCCGCAAAGCAAATAGAGATATAAAACGTTCTTTTAAGAAATCGGATATTGTCTCAAAACTTTGCTTAGTGGATAGTGGAGAATGTGACATTAATTCCGATGCCGACAAGAAACTGGAGTATTCAACACTTGCCGTTTTCTACGCGTCTTCTAAAGAGCAGTTATGCTTAACTTTGGCTGCTCGCTCAACAGTTTTATACAGCTTGGGTTTACTCAATGAAGCTATTCGAGATGCTAAAAGAGCTCTAAAGGTAGGGTGCGCATTCTTATTTACCACTTTTAAATAACTCTAAACAGACGACAAGGCCTATTAAGAGTCCAATCTTTTTTTATTGTAAGTTGAGGCACTTAAATGACCAAATGTTTGTCCAAATTATTCGATGAAAGAGAGAGAGAGAGATATTTCCTTTTAATACTCACAGCGTGCAATTATGGTTATGATTTCGGCATTCTACTCTTTAGTATGCCATTGATCTCTCCTACACGTTTCACAGATGAAAACCAGACAGACAAAAAGCCAGAGAAAAAAGGTGAGGTGAGTACTGGGGAAGTGGGGGAATATGATATGCAGTGGGATCATGGCAGTTTTAAATGAGAATTCACTTGCAGGTACGTAGGCATTTTTGTCATATGAGTATACGTTGGACAGGATGAACCACGTGGAGGTAAGTCTATCTCGCACTCCATTCTGAAATATTCCCTGCATTTTAACCACTGGAACCGAAGGCTTGGGGTAACTTGCAATCGTAAGATTGACAGAACGTGTGAGACTAGGACTGTGCTTTGGGGAACCATTTGACTCTGAACCTTGACAGCGTGCTGACTTGGATTAGAGCCGAACCAGTGAAAAAAACACATTGGAAAGCATAAAACGCCGGCATCGAGGGGTTACTTAATCATTGAGAGTGCAATAAATTTAGTATTTATATGAGTGCGAATCGTCTTTGGATGTCAAAAGGCCACTGGAAGTACAATAGTATCTGTCAGGCAGTCAAAAGCATTTCTCCAACGACTTGAGTCGAACCATAAGCCTATTGGCCTTGGACTTAGGTTGAAACCCAGAATAGATGAAGAAAATGCCTATTCCATATTACGTTTTTTATTAACTATGTCACTTTCTTTGCAGTTTAATAGAGGAGATATCGAAAAAGGAAAAATTAACTCCTATTTGGGCAAATACTACACGGAAATTGGCAAATTTAAAAAGGCCCAGCGATACTTTCAGGAGGCACGGATCCTTCTTAAGGAACATCAGGATTCTCAATGGGCTCAAATGGCGAAAGATGCCGAGCAAGAATGTTTAAGGAAAGAAAGGAAAGGCCTCAAGAGCACAGCTTTTCAGAGTGAATTTTGTGTCCACTTTCCAATGCCTCCGCCAGTGCATCATGGAGTTCCCCGGGCAACAACCGAGTCCCCAGCTCCATCGGCAAGTAGCAACTTACAACCCGTACTCCGGAAGGATAATAAGGGTTGGGCAATGATAGCCACAAGAGATATTAAGGAAGGTAAGTTTTTTTCCCCATTATTCTGAGGAATATTTTTACCCTGACTTCAAGTTGAATTTGCTTCCAATTTCTTTGCGTAGGTGAAATCATTTTTGTTGAAGAACCCTATGCTACGTCAGTAGGATTGAAACGAACTTTCTTCTGCTATGTGTGTTTCAAACGATGCCATAATCTAATTCCTTGTGCAAGATGTTCCAGTGTGAGTCCACCCTATTTTTAGTGATTTTTTATTCGATTATCCCAAAAATGTTTAGTATCCGTAGTGATTTGTAATCTTTAAATTATTGCGAACTTAATCACATTTATGCCAGGTATATGTGCTTGACTTTCACACCATTTCCCATTATAACAATACTTTGTGTGCTTTGTTTATATTACCGCGACCTCCACCGTTTCCTATACTACTCACGTGCGTATTGCAGCTATACCAATCACATAACTATTTACAGTTCATTCAGCCAATCATAGGCAAGGTTTTTGTTCCTAATCACCATTGGCTCGAATTTATAACCAATGCCTGATTGCACGCCTTTTAAGTTTGTCTGGCCTGTGTGAAAAATTCATTTACTGCAATCCTGAAGAGGGAAAATTAAGGAATCTTAGGCCAACTTGCTGGATCAATGAATCAATTATACACGCACGCACAAAGAAGCGTCTCCGTATTCACTGCACATGGTGGAAGTAAGAAAAATTTCTCTCCACAATTTAATCATGGTAAATGGCATCTCAGAAATGGAGGTTCAGCCCCCCTAGACCTTGAGGCTAGTGCTTCAATACATCTGAATTGAGTTCAATGATTAAAGACAAAGCAATTGTAGCTACAAGGTAGGTGTACGCCGAGGGTGTGCAAGGATCAGCGAACTCGTATTCGAAGTGTCTAGAGGTGAATTTAAAACCAATTGTAATACGTCCCATGAGTGGTGTAGACAGCCAACCTTGTTATTTATGATTGGCTAAAGGCGTGATAGAAACCGCCTACGATGAGGATTTGAAAGTAACACTTTCCTTTTTGGATTTGAGTGTTACCATACACAGTGGATTGGATGGTCAGACATGATATGGGCTTATGAAGTTCGTGACCTCTTGGCTTTGTTGAAGGAGGTTTGTTCGAAGATTGCCCTACAACATGAATTATCATACAAGTCATTTTCACCACCAAAGGCTTGCATCCATATATACACTACCTCATAGTTTGGTATTTTCAAACAAATTGAGAATATCAATAGCAACAACTTGAACTATCCATGTGGACATTAGTTTACCAAGTCTTTCTCAATACAAAATTTTGGCAAAATCATCGAGGGGATTGTTCATGACATTTGTATTTAGTAGTGGGCTTGATTGAAGCTCTCATTGTTATCTATTTGGATTGTAGGTTGGCTTTTGTAGCAAGAAGTGCAAAAAGAGAGGAAAACAAAATGGACATATCTACGGTTGTCGAGGTTTGATGCCGTGTACTTACTTGAGCGTTTTCGATGGAAATAAGGAGAATCCGGAATTTCCATCTCATCAAGGACCTGTCGCACTTCTTGCCTATAATTGTATTGCCAACACTAATCCTCAACGTCTTCTTGATTACATCTGTTCCACAGGAGAATATAAGGCAAGTGATCGCTTCATGGCTTTGCAGAACGAACTTATAAACTCATCGCTTTGCTCCTCATTCTCCCCATCATCATCATCATCATCATCATTGTCATCATTGCCACAGGTTGAAACACGGATTTTTCCCAAAACCGACTCATCTCTATTATATTTGGTCAGCATATTTCAAGAGAAATGAGCATTTAGAGATAAGATTAGGGTAGAAGGATGTTGGATTTCACAATAATATTTAATGAGAAATTGGATTTCAGTGATGAATTCTAGACAACTACAAGAGTTTAATTACACTGAAGGCATTCACATCTCTAACACAACTTCATTTTCGGTTAATGCTTAATGTTATTAATTATATGCACTGACAATATACATTCTATGTTAAAATGGTGTCGAATGACAAATGAGATACTTGATTTGGTTAACTGGGAAGTTGATGTAATAATTCGCATCTTGTTCAAGAATGAACCTGGCCACCAAGCCTTCGTTGGTTCAGACAAAGTTCGAAGGACCCCACCCAAGCAAATAGGCTCATTCGATTACTCGTCAGTTGCATTTCTACCAGCGTGCTCAGAAAAGCGATCATTTGAAAATCTGTGGAGCCTCACCATGGCAGCTGTTTATCTAACCTTCTGTTTCCACGTAAGTGCACTTTTGTTCATTTCAATTGTCAAGACAGCGTTAGCATCCATGCCTCATTGCAGATTGGTGGATATCCAATGAAATGGTGCAGGGAAACAGATCTGTTCTTCGAGCTACCATCTGCCAGTAAACGGCCAGACTGCATCCCAGCAAGTTGGCTTGCCTCCTGTCTTCTCTACCACTTGCAAACTATTGGCATTAATTCGTTTTCAGTAACTGAACTGGCAGGCAAGGAAAAATTTGATGAGGGTCGTTCTCTCGATCGTATAGGCCGCACGCTCCTCCCCGCCCTATCTCTTATAAATCACTCTTGTGTGCCTTCAGCCGATGTGTTAACCACCTCAGAGGGATATGGAATTTTGATCGCCTGGAAATTTATACCAAAGGGAGATGAAGTCACCATTAATTATTTTCCTGATTATAGCAATAGATCAGATGAAAGACATGCTATACTGCTAAATAGGTTCTACTTCAATTGCACTTGTTCAGCTTGTAATATTCAGTCGTCGTTTCCAAACCCAGAGGGAGAGATCATTCTCATTTGTCTAAAATGCAAAGCGAAATATCCTATAGACAAACGCTGTCCGAGGTGCAACTCCAAATTGGGTTCACGTTTTTACAATAAAACTGTCTCCAAATTTACAACTACGATCGTTAATTGCTTCGAACACAATTACTTTGATTTGAAAGCTTTTAAACGTTTCCGTAAGAGCTTGAAATCACGTATCCACCCACCTCAAAGGGCGTTGAAATTAGCTAGAGCCTTCTATCAAACTGCAATCCACTATTCCTATGGTTTGTGGACCATAGAGCCGTGGCATAAAGGTAGAAAATTGGAAACACAAACACCCATTGAAGGAGAAGAAGAAGAAGAAGTAGAAGAAAAAGAGAGCATTTGACTTTGAACTTGATATATACGAGGCAATTTCGCATGCTTTATTTTTGTTTGGAAAAGAACTTGCTAATGAATGCTACATTTCTTGCCTTTTTTGTCACATGATGAGACACATTCCGAGTGCCTTCATTCTCTTCCTAATTATGTGCCTGAACGCTGCATTGGGGAGAGCTTGACAGGTGTGCTTTATATTGATCGTCAATAGACATAACACACACATACATACGCATATATATATATATATATGTATTGGCAAGGAGAGGAAGAGATAGCATGAGCAGATTGGTTAAGAGAAGATGTCCAGATCTTAATAACGGCTGTATTTATTTACATCAAATAACAGGTGTTTTGATAATTATCATTAGCCCTTTGGTTGACTCTACCAGAGGTATGTGATAGACTTACCTCCTCGTGGTGCACCCTGGGCAAAGTATACTCATACGGCAAAAAGTCTTTTAACCGGCATTTGACTCCTGGCTTCAAACCACCGTCACCCCACTGTATGTCTAATTCGACCACTTCAACAGTACTC